TGATTTTAGTTCTTCAAATGTTGATTCCTCAACAATGGTTGCAAAATACAAAATTTGTTGTCACTTTAAATCACTGTCTGTACATTTTGTAACTACAGCATTTTATAAATAATCCTAATTGCATCCATGCACATTTTAGTGTGTAGAAAAAAAAAAAAAAAAAAAAAGCTGACGTAATCTGCTTGGTTTAACTGCAGGTACAAACACGAGATCATTGGTTAAAAACATGTGGACACAGTTGTGAAGTACAGCTTGTACTTAAAACAAATACAATAAATAGAGGTGGTTGATCAACACAAGTGAGCGCAGCTCAGATTAAAATCACTGTAAGCATCATGAATCGAGGTAAATAATGGTTTAAAAATAAAAGACAAACAGCAGTATCAGCACATTTCACAGTGAGTGGATAGGTGAGAGCACAGTACTGGGTGCAGCAGTGTGTGTAATATGATTGTCCACAGTTTGCATTCTACTCAAGAGTAGCACGGGGGATGGATTCAAACAGGCGGTCTTTACAAGAAAATGCATTCAAGACAACAAAAACCTGAAGCGTTCAAACTTGAGAGGCATTCAAATGACTTGAACTGAGAACGTAACATCTATTGTTAAAGTTACATCTATTGTTCTCAGAAAAAGAAAATGTCCGCACAACCCTTGGGCAAAGTCAAACATTTTCACAAAGCGATTTAATTGCATGCTTACAGGAAGCTTGTAAAGGTCCTGAAATCACCATGGCATGTAGATTATGCACTGCCTCTAATTACTGTACAATGCTGAAAAAATGGTCTGGAGGACAGATCCAAGGGCTTGACGCCATCTGCCTTTTACCATTACTGCAGTGGGTGATGGTAACAGTAAACCCCTGTGCAGTATGCTTGAAGATGAGATGTTGGAGGATGCTGGTGTCCCCAGCAACAGCCTTAGCTTTCTGTTTCATGCAGGCACAAAGCCAGTAGAGGTGCAAATGCAGGTGTAATGCTATTTTCTTCTGGCACAAGTCCATTTTACGGTGCTTGTGCCTGCTTGGTACTTTTGTGGCTCCAAAGGAACCTTGATGTGCTGAGGTACGTGTGCTGAGTGGAGCAGCTGGGAATGTTTATTCAGATCAGGTGGCGCAGTGTCATTTTGGCACCAAACAGCATGAAACTGATCCTATTTCCACCTGCTTTTATTTGGTGGAGGCACACGTATGTAAAGTTTTTCATTTAGTTCACATTTAAAACAATCAAAGATACATTAAATTCATTGATTTATGCTGAATTAGCACTTACACAAATGAGTTATTCCCACCTATATTAGCTACAATTGTTTACAGTATATGAGGTCCTTCTGTCTCAGTTCAGTTGATCCCTTTAACCATTAACCAGCAGCAGAAGGGGAAAGACAGAAGGTGATTTGAGTGGCTTGTATTGAAGCAGATCCCACTGGTACCTGCTGACGTATTCCTCTAACAAATGATGTATTCATCCCACTCCAGACCCTTTTCAGGGTGGGAGCATGCTGTTCCAAGATTGTGCATTGCCCAACCCAGTCGCCAGAAAAAAATGTTGGCATTATATGTTTCTGCAAACCATGGAAACCGTACATTTGTATGTAACATTTGTGCACTATTATGTGGCAGACACACTGTTTACATTTCAGCGATGCTATGGTTAACATGGGGTTAGATTTAGGCAAAAAAACAACAACTCAGTTATGGTTTGGGCTTAAAAAACACCCTGCTTTATGTGGCACTATTCCGACAGGAGATACAATGATGTCTGGGAAATAAAAAAAAAACCCTGCTTTTCGTGGCACTATCCATAGTGGATAAACAGCCATGGGTCACTCAACAACACTCATGATTTGGGGGGGTACAAAGCCACTTTAAATGCAGTGATGTATTGCGAAAAACATCGTTGTTTGGGAGCTCTTGGAAGGAGAGAGCCACAGGTCACTAAGAGACACCCACGTTTGGAGGCTGCAAACTTGAGTAAAAACACCCCCATGTTTGGGGGCTGAAAAGCCACTCCAAAAACACCCACATTCGGGGGCTGAACAGTTGCAGGATAAACAACTATCAGTCGCTAAAAAAACCTCACATTTGGAAGCTAAAAAGCCTGTAGAAAAACATCCACAGGTCACTAAAAACTACCCATGCTTGGGGGCTGAAAAGCTGTTACAAAAACAGCTACAGGTCACTAAAATACACCCATGTTTGGGAGCAATAAAACTGCTAGAAAAAAACGCTTTAACAACACCAACATTTAGGGGATGAAAAGTTGCAGGATAGCCACCACTCACTAAAAAACACTCATGTTTGGGAGCTAAAAAGGTTGCTACAAAAACAGCTACAGGTCACTAAAATACATCCACACTTGGGGGCTGAAAATCTGCTGTAAAAACACCCACATCTGGGGGCTTAAAAGTAACAGAATAAACAGCCACCAGTCACCAAAAAACACTCCCGTTTGGGAGCTATAAATCCGCTGGAAAAACTCCCAATTTTGGTGGCCGAAAAGCTGCTTTAACACCCACATAGAGAGGCTGAAAATTTGCAGGGTAAGTTGCCACCGCTAACCAAAAGAAAAAAAAGTGCTACAAAAACAGCTACAGTTCACTAAATTACACACAACTTTGGAAGCTGAAAAAACGCTGTAAAAACACTCAAAGATTGCAAAAAACACACAATCATTTTGGTAATAAAAAGTGCCTGGAAAAACAGCCATGGGGCAAATAAGAAAAAAACATGTTTAGAGCAAAACAGCCAACGGAAAAACAGTCAAGGGTTGCTAGAAAACACCCTTGTTTGGGGACTACAAAGCTTCTGGAAGAACAGCCTCGGGTTGCTAAAAACACCCAAGCTAGGGGGCTAAAAAAACAGCTGGAAAAACAGCAAGGGCCCCTAAAACCCCACTTGTTTTGGGGCTAAAAAGCTGCTGGTAATGCAGCAATGACCTGCTACAAAAACACTTTTGTTGGTTGTTCGTCTCAAACAGTGGTCTACTGCTTGGCGGGTGTCTCGTCTAGGTGTCAATGCAATCAATCATCCCCTCCTAATCCAGATGACAAAGTCAGCTCATATACTGTGTCACTTTAGAAACACTGATATGATATGTATGAAATGTACAAATGGTTTGCAAAAATATACAGTGGCACCATTTCCTTCTGACGACTGCCAGACCAATATGAAATTGTCACAGAGGGTAAAGAACAAACCTTAAAGATTTATCCAGTAGGCAGACATTTGCAACATGGTCTTCAGCGGCAGTGAGACTGCATTTTTACAAAGCTGATACCTTTTGAAGAGTCATAAAAGGAAAAAGAAAAAAAAACTTTTGCCATCAAATCTCCTTTTGTGTCAGCACCAATTCAGTAATCCAGAGTTTCTGAATACTGATTATTGCATTAATAATTCATTACTTCATATGATCTACGCCTTGTCACTGCCATTTTATTTTATTCATGGAACAAAACACGTTCCCAGCTTCTTTGCTTCCGTCAAATGACTTTATTTTAATGACTTGTGTTAAGAAAAGCAGCAATCCGTTCTGAGCTCGAACAAACCTCAGGACGCTTTCGTACTTTTAGCCGTCCCCAAGGGATTTTAGACGGGTCCCTGTGTGCACATTCATTGTTGACTGAATTGTCTAGTTTGTCACAGTGATCTGGGACATTTAGGTGGTGAGTATTTTGAACCTTTTTTTAGCCTTTCTGGGACAGTGAGTCTTGGATTAAATGAACCCCTCTCCTTCCAAAACATTGTTATTGTTTGTCCTGAGTCACACTCAGAACTTTGTAGACTGCTAACTTATAAATAAAGCTTTAAAGACTGTTTTTCTTGCCAAAAATAAATCTGTCATAATTCTGCCACAGGACCAAATACTAGCAGCGGTGATCTTGTTTTTCTGGCGCCACATGTGAGGTTATCAAAATTTTCACTTGCTGTACTGCTGCCACATGACAGAAGGAAATGATAAAGGCAGCAGTTTTCTAATTAAAAGTCTCCTTCCCATCCGTCAGCTAAGTGATCCTGTTTTCTACAGTCTAATATTTAATGAAGTGTTTGCTCTTGCTATAGATTTCTAAATACTGCTGATGCCATCTATCCATTTTCTGTATGTGCTAATACTGTTCAGGGTCACGGAGGAGTAAACCCTATCCCAGCATGAATGAAATATCTTTCCTGTATATCCAGATTTTCTTCCGAGGCATCATCTTTTGCATTAATAAATCTTTGCAAAAGTAAAATTTAAAAAGACACAAAAAAATCCATCCATCCCTCCTCTATGCTATTCCACCTTCCTTCCAAACAATGGATGTATAATAGGGCTGCCCCCTAATAGTCGACCAAACATTAGTCGACCAGAAAGGCCAGTAGTTGGCAAGATTTCATTGGTCACTTAGTTGCAGAAAAAAAAAACAAAAAAAAAACAAACAAACGTGAAACTCTATTAGGAGCTGCACCTTGTCAAAATATATCAAAACCTATATGACTGGACCATGTGGGAATTTAACTTGAAAGGACAGACACAGGAAGTGGCCATGCTCAGCAGTCAGACAGGAGTCATGTTACAAACCAATCACAGCCGACAGATATCTTTCCCTTCTCCTGTAAATATTCAGTCTGATAATACGGAAAAGTTGATCATGTTAGTGCAGGGCTACCCAGAGCTTTACATCTGTCCCACAGATGATAGGCCTACACACTGATCATGTGTTGCTGAATCAGTTTTCTTAACAGTACTGACTTTTGTGGTGCACAATGGTCAGTTTGTGTAAATTAAAAAGTTCTTTTTTAGCTAAACAAAATCTCAACAGCCATATTGTTTTTTTCTTTTTATAGCTCTTTTCTGAAAATTGCAGCTTCTACCAAAAGTTCACCCAGATAAATGTTGAAACTGAGAAAACAAAACCAAAGTGGATGCAAAATAACAGCAAATACACAGTGCTGATTAGTCACAAATTAAAAAGAGAAATGCTGATGTAAGCCACCAGTGAGATGTCTCAAGCATTCTTACCTCAGCCCGTATAAGACAGTGCCATCCGGGTGCAGTCGGATCATACGGTTTTTTACCGTCACGCCATGAAGAAAGGACTTCTTGTCATTAAGGAAGTAGGTGTCAGGAAGCCAAAGCTGATCTGCTACACGGTTGTCCAGAGTCAGGTTTAGCTTCAGCTCACCATAGGCCAAACGCTTATCTCGCCAGCTCTGCTGGAAATACATTGTGATGGTGTAGTCCTGGGGAGGAGGAGAAACGTACATGAAGTCACAGACGGAAAATAAAAAAAAACAATTTCAGTTGTACAGAAAGTCATGAGAAATGGGAACAATTTAGAAAAAAATGCATTTCTGTTTTTGTTTTTTTCTTTTGGTTTGAGTGACCCCTTCAGAAATAACAGACAAAGCTGGGACTTTGAACACAGATGTTATCCCAGGCAGAAAGTTTAATACTGGTTTCAGTCAGTTGGCAGATAATACCATAAGTTATGTAGGGGGAAGAACAAGAACAAGGTGGTGTGTACTAACAGGCATGGAAATATAAAAGAATAAAAATGCCTCTATTCAGTAAATCTACAACAGCAACAAAACCAATGCATCTGCTACGAGGGCACTACAACACTATGTTTAAACTCTCAGGTCACGAAAACTGTTTTGCTCTTTTACACAATCAGTAAAACTAAACTGCTCAGCATTTGTAAAATAGGACATGGGCAGCAAACCAATAAATACAACTGTGCTAGTACTGCTGTACTTTACTGTATCTAACTGAGAAAGTACTTAAGTGGAGATATAATGTCTGCCTGCTAATGCATCATTACCCCTCTGGTCAGAGTAATGTAGTATACAGTCAGACATATGAAAGATACACATTGGCTCCATTTCTAACCTACATAGTCCAGTGATTTTAAATATTGTGTTCCATTCGTCTTGGATCATTTTTGCCTGTTATAATAGCAAGTTTATCCACACTCCATGTGTTGGAGCAAGACGCATGTTAACACAGCGAGTATCCTTTACATCCTGTTTGTGATTAATGATGCCATAATGAGTATTTTGTATTGAAAGGTACCACTATAAAGTAAATGGTACACGGACTGCACTTGTATAGCGCCTTTATAGTCTTCTGACCACTCAAAGCGCTTTTTTTTAAAGCAGTGTAATGAGTTGACTATTCTGTCTAATATCAGGCAATTTTTGACACTTGACTGTCTAAATTAAAAAACAGTTAGCAGTTTCAAACTTTGTGTGCGTTTTGTTGAATCGGTGAGAGTCAATACATTTAAAACTCACATAATCCATCACCATGAGCAGAAGTAAGACAAATAAACCAAAGAAAGAAAGACAGAGAGGGTGAAAGAAAACAAAAAATAGAAAAGCTGTCTCACCATATGGGAGGAGTCACGCTAATTAGAATAGAGTGCTAAGAGACAGAATGACACTCAGTTGCTGGCCATGTTTTCTTCACAGCTCAGCCTGCATTCATGAATGCTGTCAATGTGCTGTCTGGCAGAATTACACTGAAGAAATGATCAATCGTTCGAGACAAAATGACAAAAACGACAACAACAAAAAACAGTCCCTTTTATGTTAAGTCTTAGAGAGTTATTGAGTTGTATGACTTTATAACCCAATAATATATTCATTGTTTTAGGATCCATCCATCTTATGGTCGATCTACATCCCAACCCTCACCTATGGTCATGACATCTGGGTAGTGACCAAAGGAATGAGATTGCAAATACAAGTGGCCAAAATGAGTTTCCTCTATGGGGTGGCTGGGCTCAGCCTTAAAGATAGGGTAAGGGGCTCAAACATTTGGAGGGAGCTGAGAGTCAAGCTGCTGCTCCTTCACGTTGAAAGGGGTCAGTTGAGATGGTTCGGGCATCTGATTAGGATGCCTCCTGGGCACCTCGCGTCAGAGGTGTTTCAGGTGTGTCCAACTGGTAGGAGGCCCCGGGGCAGACCCAGGACACGCTGGAGGGATTACATATCTCATCTGGCCTAAGGTCCCGCAGGAGAAGCTGGAAAGCGTTGCTGGGGAGAGGGACATCTGGGGTGCTTTGCTTTGGGTAATTTTATGATGTTTCTTTTCTTGTTGTGAATTTACCATTTCAATTTCAGAGAATATCTTACTTTTTTCTCATAAATTTACAACTTTAATCTTGGAAATTCAGACTTTTTTTCTCTGAATATTACCCCCCTGTCCCGGCTCAGTATTTTCTTTGGTCTACAATGGCCCTTAACACGCTTTTTTTTACAGCTGGCAATGTTTGTGTGTGGGAAGCCAGATAGGGATCATGCATTCGATAATGCACTGGCAACTCCCTCTGGTTGGCTGTTTGGGAAGTGAAGGATGAATTGGAGACAAAAAAACAAAGAAGTCTGTAACTTACCATGTTAACTTCTGAGATGGAGTCGATGCTCGCTATGTTGATGCTCATTCCTACGATGACTGGAGGACCTGAAGGAACAAAAGAAGAAGTGAAGTCAGCGAAAAGGACAAAAAGATAACAACAACTGAACTTTGAAAGGCGATCAAAATTGATGGAGTTGTAATAATGTTAAATTAATTGGATTTCTACTTTATTGTAAAGTCCACTTATGCTTTTATACCAGCCCACCCTCACCAAAAAACGTCCATTTGGTCGGTCTGTCCAAGCACCTTATTACGAGCCATACTGTAATTATGTTTATTGTTAGGTGGCAACTTCTAGTGGCCTTGGTAATGATGACGGGAGCAAAGGAGGAAGTCAGATGACGTAGTATGAAGGGCGACTAGAGCCCTATTTGGACGGGATTAGTTTTCCAGGTACAGTTAACGTGGGGTAAAGTAATAATTACTTTTTTAGTTTTAGATTTTAGTCCCGTCCGAATGTGCCATGTCAGTAATCATTACCGCACAATGTCAGTAAAGATTACCGCGACTTTTACCTTCTGTAAAAGGGTCCCGGAAAATTACCTCAGGTAATACTAATCCTGTGCGAATAGACCAGCAGTAAATATGTGTGTGTAGATATTTCATCATATCCTGTTTACAAGTGGTTTTTCGTGGATTTTCAAGCATGGAAGCTCTTGAAGAAGCACTCAGTTTTGCACTTCACAGTCGGACAAGTCCGTGCGAAACCTCAGGTACTGTGGGCCTATGACGAACGCGATTCAAAACCAAAAGAAGGTCCCATCTTCTGTGTTTTTCCTGGAAGGAGTGTGGTACGCACAGGAAGCAACGTCATATGCACATGACGACAGGAGGGGATGGCGGTGCGTGAATGGATTAACCCCTCCCACTTGTCGTAGTTTTACTGATATTTCTTATATCGTTAATATTACCGCAGCCTGTGGTAAAGTGACATTACCCCACGTGCCTATGTAAAACTAATCCCGTCCGAATAGTGCTAAAGTCTGTACAGGGGAGAAAGTCAGGTTGATAGATGGGTCAAACAAGAACAAGACTTTCCCTAGGGAGACAGCTGTTTGTGTCCCATGTGAAACCAAAAGTTAACCATGACATTTAAGTATGCACCGCACTAATTGACCCCACGCAAGTAACGTACGTACATCACTGAAGTTATGCAACAAATATAGGCTACTTGTTTTAACCAAACCATGATCTTTTTTTAAAACCTTACCACATAATTTTGGCGTGCAACGTTAACCAGATTTTTACTGCGATCAGTATGTGTGCCTGTTGCAGGTGCTCTCCTATGGTCATATATGTCGTTTTTTGAGTCACTGGCAAACAACCTATTCTGTCCTTTAGGTATGAAGATATGTTGTCTAAAATGTATTTTTCTATTCTTTTAATTCTCACTCAAATTTTTTCCAACACAGACGAATGGATTTCACCCAACAGTAGACTGTTCTGAGTTAAAACACCAGCATCAGATAGAAGATTTGCATTATGCATTATTTGCACATGTTGAACTACACTGATGAAAAATTTAAATCTGTTTTCGCTGCTCAGAGAGTGTGTACATATAACAGGAGGTAAAGATCAGTTACTCTCAGCTTATGCTTATGAAACAATGCTGGGAAAATGCACTCATCCATCCTAATTTTGAGGCTTGGCAATCCATGCAAAGGAACAGGAACAGCAGACTGAGCCTCACTGACATGATTACAGTACATGTTGTAGACATGTAAACAGCTATACACATCATCTTCCTTATGTACAGATAACACTTATCCCACTTCAATATTCACACAACTTAAGGTTTACAAGGATTATCCATTCACAGCGCTCATGTTCTCACAGTCACTGTAACCAAGAGGAAGTGACTTCAGACGTACTGTGTGATTATGTTGAGCAGGATCACCCAGATAAGCCTATGTACAACGATGTCTTAATTTTAAGGGGTATTTTTTAAATCAAATACATATTTCACACATACATGCTTGCAATGATAAGTGAGCATTTACCATATGCAGCAGCTGGGTATTCTCAGAGCCTCAAGCAATCCTTTCAAGACATATGGTTTGGTATCAACATTCCATACCTTAAAGCAGTGGTCCCTAAGTGGTGGGTCACGGTCCAAAAGTGGGTCCTGGGATAATTCTGAATGGACCACAAGCGACTTGCAAATGTGTCAAGTTTGTAAAAAACACTTTTTTTGAAGTGCAGTGAATTTCTAGCACATAAACAGAGACAGCAAACTACCTTCACAACATGGCCAAATGCAGTATGACGTATGAATATATTAAACTGTGTGAACCTTGAACTAATCTTAGGACAAATCTGGGCCCCATGGCTGGACCAGTTGGGAACCACTGCCTTAAGGTTATCGACCAAAATAACCCAGTGCCCAAGTTGCATTGAAACATTTTAAGTCAAACAATGCCTACATATCCTTCTGTAGACGTTCTTTGATTTAATGTGTGATTGGCTCACAACCGCAGCAGCTACAACCTTCATTCATTCATTCATTCATTCATTCATTTTCTGTAACAGCTTTATCCTGTTGGAGGTTGCGGGAGGCTGGAGCCTATCCCAGCTGACATTGAGTGAGAGGCGGGGTACACCCTGGACAGGTCACCAGAATATCACAGGGCTGACACATAGAGACAGACAACCATTCACACTCACATTCACACCTACGGACAATTTAGAGTCACCAATTAACCTGCATGTCTTTGGACTGTGGGAAGAAGCTGGAGTACCCAGGGAAAACCCACACTGACACAGGGAGAGAACATGCAAACTCCACACAGAAGGGCTCCCCCCGGGGTGCGAACCTCTTGCCGTGAGACAATGCTAACCACTGCACCACTGTGTCTATTTGCAACATGTTTTCCTTTAATGCTTTTTGGCTTCCTGCACCCTTTTTTGAAATCGGCATTTTTCTGGAGCATTTGCCTTCATCAGCCACCATAATTTTAACCACACAAACTCTGATATATATTAGCATCACACTACAGCCACACCTGCTCGGTCAACACATACAGTGAAGAGGCTGGAGGCGGAACAACAGAGAGGGCTGGAGTCTATTCAAAGTTATTTTCCTTCCTTTTATCTCTTCTTTCTATCAAGCAACAAAATAAAGAAAACCAGCTCCCACCACATGAGAAGCTGTAACCGCCGGCAGTGGATTTTGTGAGTGAACTGACATGTTGACACTGATTCTGAGTGTTTCATCATAACAAATGATTTCTCCTTCTATGCATTTTTAGTCCTAATGTTATCCTCAACACCTAAACACGCTCCCCGCCCCCCTCTTCAAACTGTGCCAGCTGTACATTGCTTCAGTGAGAATGATCAGGCCACAAAATATGAAGTGCTGACACAGAGAAGAGAAACAGACGAAAACATTTCAGTGATTGGTTTATGAGGCAGTGCTGAATCAGTATATTCAGATAATGTTTCATGGTATTATAGTGGAAATGGTATTAGCATAAGGATCATAAACAACACAGAAAACAGCTGTACTACAATATGTGCTTTTTGCGTGTATCATCACATTCAAGCGGTACAGAACCTACCTCTACTCAAAGAGGAGGAGCAAAGAAAATGGCATTATATTACTGTTTATGTATATTTGCAGTGCAGTCGGCAGAAGAAACTGTTGACGTAGTGCATTTCTGCAAACCACAGATACGTTACATTTGTATGTTTTATACATATCATATCAGCGTTACTAAAGTGATGTAGTTCTGAGCTGACTTTGTGATCGGGAGGTGGAGGGGATGGTGGAGGGTGTGAGACCTTGTAAAGATGGCTGCTAAACTGTAGACCACTGTTCGATACCAACAAACAACAAAACTGGTTGTTTTTTAACATCTGCCTCATTTCAAAACAGATTATGGCAAAAAAAAAAAAAATGGTATTTTAAGCCAAAACATGATATTTAATATATTTACCACGTTTTCTGTGCCTAAACATAACCCAAGTAGGCAGCCTCTCCAATTGTAATTGTGCCACCAATATTAAGGGTTTTAAGTAAGACATTGTTGCATTTCCAGCCGTGATTGTGCCACCAAATGTTGGTATTTTTACCAAGATATCAGCACTATTTCCAGTGGTGATCGTGGCACCAAAACCAGATATTTTAAGTGAGACGTAGGCGTCCTCTCCAACTGTATTGTGCTACCAAATCGGGTGTTTTAGGTGAGACATTGCAGCATTTCCATGCCTTGACTGTGCCACCAAAACCGGATGTTTTGTAGTGAGACAGAGGAGAAATTTCCAGCCATGGTTGTGGCACCAAAATTGAGTATTTTAAGCCAAAACATGATATTTTACTAACCATAAACAAGTGTTTTTTATGCCTAAACATCTCCCCACGTTTAAAACAGTAGTTGAGAAGTGACACCTTGGTGGTATTTCAAGCTGTGATTATACCACCAAAGTTTGGTGTTTTTAGCAAGATATCTGCAGCATTTCCAGCCATGAATGTGGCACCAAAACCAGGTATTTTAATAAGATGTAGGCAGCCTCTCCAACTGTAATTGTGCCACCAAAATAAAGAGTTTTCAATGAGATATTGTGGCATTTCCAGCCATGATTGTGCGACCAAATGTTGATGTTTTTTAGCAAGACATCCGCAGCATTTCCAGCCATAACTGCGCCACCAAAACCAGGTGTTTTAAGCGAGACATAGGCAGCCTCTCCAACTGTATTGTGCCACCAGATTGGGTGTTTTAAGTGAGACATTGTGGCATTTCCATGCCTTGACTGTGCCACCAAAACTGGATGTTTTGTATTGAGACATAGGAGAAATTTCCAGCTGTTATTGTGGCACCAAAACCGGGTATTTTAAGCCAAAATATGATATTTTTACTAAACGTAACCAAATGGTTTTTGTACCTAAACAGAACCCCACCTTAATCACGGGGTTGTTGAAACATAAAGACATGTAAAGTTTCAACATATTCGCTACATAATAAAGTAAAAATGTTACATTTGGCATTGTACATTTCTGCAAACCATGTTCCATGTTGAAAGCCACGTCACCATTGTATTAATGTACT